AAACTGCACACATGCAACATGGAAATAATAATAAAAAAAAAAGGAATGTGACCTATCTTCCTGATTTTTCACAGGGCAGATGGAAGGATTACTGCCTGGGGGAAGCCTGGGCAGGGTTTCCGTGCCAGTTGACACTAGACAGGGAGGGACTGGGTGCTCTGAGCAGGTATTTCGTGTCCAGGACCTGCCCCTCCGGCGCAGGCGGAATCTGCAGCTGTGCAAACGGTGCCGTGCAAAAGCTCCGAGAGCTGCAGGGCCCTGGGTGGGTTTGTGCAGCCTCAAGAGACCCCCTCTTGGGAGGCAGAGCTGGGATGCAGCCAGCAAGCGGCTCTGCCCATCCCTGGGTGATGGGTGTCCCCTGGCCCTGGGTTGTCCCCTCCCCGTGTGCGTGATTTCCAGGCTGGGTGGATGCAATTTCCCACATCTCCGGTGTTGTGGGATTTTCCCTCTCTGGAAGGGACGAGCATCGTTCTGAGACATAAAAGCACTTAATGCAATGCAGCAGCGGCTTTTCTTCAGCACTGGACTTGAGCCCAGGATGAGCTCAGCAGCCTCACATTAAAAACCTCTCCTGAGGCGCTCTGAAAAAACTCAGAACAGGCACTAATATCCCCACAGCATGCCCTTCCCCAGCCCCTGGGAGCACAGTCCTTGCTTTTCCTCCAGAAATAACCCCAACCCTGCTCAGCCATTAGTGTTTGTCTCTATTTCTGGAAGAAAGATCCCCCCCAAGGGATTTGCATGTTGCCAGCACAGCAGCGCAGCAATGCCGGGCTTCCTCTTCTCGACATCACTTATTTCTGTAATTCTTCTCTCTTCCCTGCCTGGTCCTTGTCACCATCTCCCATCCTGGCTGGTGTCGGGGGTTTGTCCCCCCAGGGGATGCTCCCAGCAGCTGCTCAGTCTCCAGCCCAGGGAATTCCTCCCCCCAGAGAGATGCCGACCCTCCTTCCTTACATCCCAGCTCCTCGACACCCAGGACCATCCCTTGGCCCCCCAAATTCCCCTGCTGATGGGCCCCAGGTTGGAGCTGCCCCCTCCCCACCGTGCCAGCTCAGCACCCGTGTTGGGAACGGGAAATTGTCACGCAATGGGGAGGGGACAAGATGGGAAGCGAAGCCAGGGGCTGTGGCGGCGCAGAGATGCTCCGGGAAGCTCTGCCCTTCGTAAAAGTCCTTTATTAGAACAGCAAACATGACACTTCTCTTCGGTACAGCAGCTGTATGCAGCTATCATCGCGGTACGGGGCGGGGGGATGATGTCTTACAATCACTGGGAGTCTAAGAAGCACCATGAACATCCTAAAGAACGGGGGGATAACGGCGGAGAGAGGAGCCCCGGGTGAGCCGGCCACGGGGGCTCGTCAGGGATTCACCAAAGAGCTGCTCGGCGTTGGCCCGCAACACGGCTCTCCTGTAGCTGAGAGAAACTCCTCGGTGTGAGTCAACGAGATAGCACCCATCCAATAAATTAGGTAAAATTAACCCTAGAGCAACGAGGGAACGAACGGGACCGTCCTCGGGGAGGGGCACGCTGGAAGGGAACGGTCTATTTACATTTGTTTTTCTGCCGGACCGGTTCTCCCGTAGCATCCCACCCGACCCCGCATTGACGA